AAAGTAAAGAGAAAGTAGATCACTATAAAAAATTAAGAGAGTGAATAAGAGAGGAAGGAGGAGGAAGAGTGGTAGTGTGGGTCAGAGGGAGGGTATGGTAGGAAGTATCACTATGTTTCTAAATCTGTATAGATGAAATACATGAAATTTTTACACCTTAGATAAAATTTTAAAAAATATTTTAAAAGGTGTGCTGAGAAAAATGTGGTGAATTTATGCATTGCTGTGTTTAGGAGCCAGAATGCTGCCTTAATCTTTGATGCCTTACACCGATGCTCCCATATGAGGACAATGTTTTGGACCTACCACATGAGGAAAGCAGCTGTTTCTCTACCTTCTGCATTGAACTGATATTAATTTATTCATCTCTTTTCCTAGGACTTTATTTGTAATCCTACTTCCTAATGGCTCAGAGCATGTATCAAAGTCCTTACAAGATGGCCTTGTAAAACACCCTTGGAACAAAATCCTGGGCTACAATAGTGTAAACCACAGCAACAATTACATTTCTTCCTGCCGGGGTTCTTGATAAGCCAGCCTAAATTTGGACAAATGGATTCCTCATACACAAAACTCTTTCACTGGACAAGTGTAGTATTAGGTTAGAGCTAGTACTGATTGAAAAGGTATTTCACAGAAGAGTTGATATATTTCCAGAAAAACCCCCTTGTGAAGTATGTGTTTAGGGAAAAACATGTTAAGTCTTTTCAGAAAAAGTACTATATCCCCAAACTTATTTTAGAAGCAAAATTCTATTTGATTGAAGTGTTTGATGAAGTTATCCAATTTTCTTTCTAGAACAATGTGTAATGGTGTGATTGTAACAATTTTTAATGGGCCATCTTATTTTTTAGTTTATGAATAAAATTAATAATTTAATTTGTTCTCTTGTGATTGAAGAATTAATGGAGAAAATAATTTTCCACATATTTGAACTATTAAAGTTATTAGTCTGAGAAAATCCCAGCCTACATCAGAGTAGCACAGGAGAGAAGAAGCATTCAGTGTCCACTGAGGTGTGTTCAGCTTCAACCAAGATACTGAGAAAGAGCATGCAGTTATCTTTCTTTCTTTTTTTTATTTGACAGGTAGAATTATAGACTGTGTGTGAGAGAGAGAGAGACAGAGAGAAAGGTCTTCCTTCTGTTGGTTCACCCCCCAAATGGCCACTACAGCCAGCGCGCTGCACCTACCCGAAGCCAGGAGCCAGGTGCTTCTTCCTGGTCTCCCATGTGGGTGCAGGGGCCCAAGCACTTGGGCCATCCTCCACTGCCCTCCCAGGCCACAGCAGAGAGCTTGACTGGAAGAGGAACAACCGGGACTAGAACCCAGCATCCACATGGGATGCCGGCGCTGCAGGTGGAGGATTAACCAAGTGAGCCATGGCGCTGGCCCCACGGTTATATTTCTGCTTACAGTTTTAACTTCACATTCAAAGGAAAAGAAAACAATCAGGTAACAAATTTTACTTCAGTATATTAGACTTCCTAGTCCTTAAAATCAATAGCTGTCCATCAAAGCCTAGACATGGGGTGATGTACTTGAATAATTGAAGGCTAACTTGTTAATGGTAGAAGTGAAGTTAGCCATGCAGGGAGACACATTGTCAATTGCCAGCAATTTAGTATGCTTTTGAAAACCATGGGCAGCAATTTACAAAAAAGATTAGGCCAGTTACTGTACACGTGTGACATTTTCTTGATTTAAGATGTCAATCTGAAAAGTGGCAAACTGACACGTAGAGTTTGGAATGGCATCATAAAGTTTATGAAGACCTACTTTTCCCTGAAAATGTCTATATTTCTGCTATGGAAAACCCCTGACTGCACACCTCCTATGGGGACTAAACGTGTACATACAAATGAGCTTTGCCACAGAAGCGTGATGTATACTCTCTTGGGACCATTAAGCACCTTGACATTGCTCAGTGTTCTAACACACTTGGTGTTATGAGCTTTTATTTCTTAGAGCTGATATGATTAAAAAGAGAACACTTTGAATGCGCATTGTTCAATCAGTCCTAAACCATGTTAATGGATAAATTAATTTAATCCCGCACCAGAATTGTTGTTCAGCTGTCTTTCAAAAGAATATGGCACAACCAAAATATACCATCACTACTAGAGTCGATAGCACTCATTACTGCAGGCAAAATTCATTGATGAATGCTAAAATGATGGCCAAAACTTTAAGGAAAAGTAAATGACTGTATAGCCTCAAGGCATCTCTCCTGTACTATGTATTAATTACTGTGTTACTTTAATACATGTCCACACATTTTTTGATACTATTCCTTCTCAGGAGGTAAAATTTAATTCTTTCCTTTCAATATTGCTAGGTTTGGTGACCTGCTTCCAAGGCACTGAGCATGCAAGGGGGAAAATGGTAATTCACCACAGAGAAACCTGGCAGACAGCACCAAGTAGTCTAGGTTAGCATCATGAAACATGTAACTCTGATATAATACAATGATCGGGGCATTTTACCTCAGGAATATACTTTCCCAAAAACTCAAAATCTTAGTCTAATGATGAAAAAGTAACAAAAAATTCAGATGAAAGCATTCTACAAAATACCTCTCTGGTTCTATATGGCACGTTCATATAAACCAAGGAAAGGGAAATCCAGTGCAGACTGAAGATGAAACTAAGTTGTCAATATCAATTTGGTATCCTGGATTGAATTCTAGAACAACATCAACAGCAAAAAGTTAGATTTTAGTGGAAAAATTAGTGAAGTTCCAATGAAGTCTCTAGCTTAGTTAGTAGAATTCTATTAACATTAACTTTTTAGCATTGATAACTAAAACATGTTCATTAAAGTTGCCAACATTAGGAGAAGATGAATGAATTGTATATTGCAATCCTCTACACTGTATTTTTCAACATTTATATACATCTAGATGGTCCCTATACAAGAAATAAAAATAACTTAAAAAGAAGAAAATAATCAGTAGATGTTACAGTTTGAATTGTGTCCTCCAAAAAGATTTGTAGAAATCTGAATCCTCCAGTACATCATAATGTGAAATCATTCGGAAACAGATAAGGTCACATTGGAGTATGATGGACCCTTAATCCAATTATGAATGTTGTCTTTACCAATAGATACACAGGCACACAATTGAAGAACATCATGACAACAGATGCATACTGAAGCATCCAGCTACAAGCCAAGGAACTCAAACATTCCATGCCTCCAGTGGAAGCTTGAAAGCAAATAAGGGGCAGGTATTGTGGCTGTCTGGGGGAGCTGCTTCTCATATGGAGCTGTGTGTTCAAGCCCTGGCTGCTCCGCCCTTCACATCAAGCCTGCTCATTATAATGCACACCCTAGGATACAGCAGATGATAACCAAGAACTTGAGCCCCAACACCCACATAGGAGATCTTGGTGGAGTTCCTGGCTCCTGGCTTCAGCCTGGCCCATCCCCGGTTTTTGTGGGCATTTGAGAAATGAACCGGCAGATGGAAGATCCCTCTCTTTCTCTTTGTCTCTCCCTCTGTCACTTCCTCTCTCTGTCACTCAGCCTTTCAAGCAAATAAATAAATCTTTAACAAAAAGGAAAGAAGAGAAAGGAGGAGGAGGAAGAAGAGGAAAAGAGAAAGAGAAGGAAGAAGGATGTCTCCCTTTCAGGTTTCAGAGGGACCACAGCTCTACTGACCCTTGATTTTGGACTTCTGATATGCAGAATTCTGAGATCCTTTTCAGTTATTTTAGGCAACTCAGTTTGTGGTACCTTGTTATCTTAATAAACTAATCTGATTTAATATAATTGAGAACAACAGTGAATTTCTATCCACGTGTTAGCATAGATATTTGATATCATTTTTATTGATGTTAGAAATGAATTTTTTGGAATTTAAAAACAGTTACATAAAGTTACACTTCCAGTAAAAAATCATAAACTCCAAGATATCCTGAAGGTTAGTGAGGACAGTTGCTATTTGAAGAGAATGGATGAGATTCCATAATTCAAATGTCAAATACAGGACATTTAGATACAATCTGTGTTTAATAGACTCTCTGTGCTTTAAAAAATACTTAATGTATATTTCTAAACTTATTCTCAATGTTAGCAATAATTTTTGCAACTCTTTAACACTTTCCTGGAAGTCCAAGCCTTGTTAACCATGGTTTTAGTTGGAATTCCTACTATAACACTATTTTGGCAGTTATCATTTGAAATACAAGCTAATGTTTGAAACTAGGCAAAATACCCTTTTGGTTTAGCAATAAAATAATCTGGATAGTGACACTTCAGTTTCTTCTATCTTATGCATTTCAGTGCAACTCTGAATATTTGTTTCCATAATTCTTTTGATCTACATTTTTCTCAACAGAGAAAAGACAAAGATTGTTAATAAATTTTCATATCTTAGTTCTCAGTTTTAAAGGGAAAAATGTAGTGTGGTAAAATTTAATGGTAGAAGTAATGATGTGGTGTGTGAGTAGAAATTATTACATCATTTCCATGACTCTATACAGGATTTTTTTGCTCTTTTGAATAAATGATGCTTGTTTAAAACAAATTATCAAAGTTGACATTCCATACTACAAGACAGATTACAAACACAGCAAACTGGACAAACAAAACAAAAATGCAAGATGCCTTTGAATGGGCTGAAGATTATTGGTCTAATTTTAAAATATTATTTGAAGATTGACAAACATTGCCCTAAACAGTGTCAGCCATTGTTTATACTTTGTGATGTAGGGCTTTCATGAGAGAATACCAGGTCTGCATCACTAATATACTCACTTATTTAGGTAAAATCTCAATCAAGCTTTTGCAATAATGATTTGTAATACCATTCAATCTTTTCAAATAAACTGAATGATATAATACTTACCATCTACAATGCAGGCTAATTAAGATTAGATTTCCATTATCTTAAACATTTTAGTCTTCTAAAATAATACATTCAAAATCATTATAAATAGAAACATATATGCTCTTTCCTCTCTCCTCACCTCATGGACCCACGATGAGCGGAACAGGTGACATGAATGACATTGATTCTGAAAGAAAAATGACAGCTGTGAACCCCAGATGTGTGCTGAGGAACTGCATGGCTGAGTCTGCTTTGCAAAAAGAAGAAAGGAATGATTTTTCAGAGCTCTGTCTCCCACAGCAAGTTCTCCAGTGCCCATTCCAGACGCAGTCTGCAGCTGAGAAAGTGGGTAACTCCTCATCTGCTCCTTCTTTGGCTTAATATCTCAGAGTTAGTTGCTCATCTTAATTTGTGAAAAAACAAATCAAGGAATACTTGTAAAAAATAGAAACATGTTCTAAAATTTATATAGGGTCAGCGTTGTGGCATAGCCAGCAAAGCTGCCACCTGTGACACTGGCATTCTTTATGGGTCCCGGATCATGACCTGGCTGCTCCACTTCCAATCCAGCTCTCTGATAACAGCCTGGGAAAATCAGCAGAGAGGATAGCCCAGGTGTTTGCTCCTAGACAAACTTCTGGATCATGAATTCAGGCTGGCCCAGTACTAGCCATTGCAACCATTTGGGGAATGAATCAGGGGATGGAAGATCTCTGTGTGTGTGTGTGTGTGTGTCTCTCTCTCTCTCTCTCTTTCAAAATAAAATAGAATAAAATAGAATTCATTTAAGCGTATCTTGAGAATTAACTGGTGAAGTCAGGAAGTTTTATTATTCATTCTTCTCTTAAAATTTAGAGTAGCCTGACAGTAGTCAGTTTGTCAGTTTCGCTTTCTGTGATTTCAGTTACCTGTGATCAAACATACCTCGCTGTAGTCATTTGGTAACCACCTTAGTTATCAGATCAACTGCTGCAGTATCAAAATGCATGTCATCAAGTAACCCTTATTTTACTTGATAATAATAGCTTGATAGTGCAATGGTAGTAATGAAATGGGGGCACCAGGAAATAAAACATATACAGACAGATTGACTCAGATACTATGTGGCAACATTATAGGGCTTAAGAGGAGCACTATTATAATATATAAAAGAATTTTAAGATGGACGTGTTGACTTAGTTAGAGACAGCCTATGCCTCTTGTACACCAAAAATGTATTTATTTATTTGAAAAGCAGAGTTACAGAGAGGGAGAGGCAGAGGCAGAGGCAGAAAGAGAGAGATCTTCCATGCACTGGTTCACTTCCCCAAATGGCCAAAATATCCATGGCTTGGCAAGGCTGAAGCCAGGAACCAGAAGCTTCATCAAGTCTTCCTCATAGGTGGCAAGGGCCCATACAATTGGGCCGTCTTCTGCTTTCCCAGGAGCATTAGCATGGAGTTGGTTCAGAAGTGGAGCAGCTGAGAATTGAGCTGGCACCCATATGGGATGCAGGCTCTGCATGTGGTAGCTTAATCTGTCTCACCACAGCACCAGCCCCTAGACCTAATGTCTTAATTTTCCAAATCCTCTCCAACATCACTTTTCCTGAAAATACCTCCAGCATGGGACCCCATTGCTGCTCTGTTTGTCCCTTCTCTCTATTTGTCCCTGTGCTACCTGTATCTCAACACAGATGATGCTGTGTACTAACAGAAGTTTGCTCACTGTATACCTTACCAGTTGGGAAGGATAATCCAGTGGATGGAAGATATCTACCCTGCTCCTTCTCTTCCTCTCTGTAAGTCTGACAGAGTTTTAGCCCTGGCTCCAAGGTAGAGCCAGGATGAGGTCAGGAGCCAGGAGCTTCTTCCAGGTCTCCTATATGGGTGGCAGGAACCCAAACACTTCGACCATCTTGTGCTGATATTCCCAGGCCATTAGTAGGGAGCTGCATCGTAAGTGAGGCAACCAGAACATAACCAGCATTCTTGTGGAATGCCAACATGACAGACAATGGCTTTAGCCTCTATGCCACAATGCCAGCCAGTAAATAAATGTTTCTAAAGCATTAAAATTTATTTGAAATTCCTGTACACATATGCATATGAACAATATGATAGATCTTCAGCATTTGTTTCCTAATGAAGTTTCTAATACATCTTAACTCTTAGAAAGCATTAGTGTCATCAGAAAAATGCGTTTTATAAAATGCTGATCCCACATTCGGATCTGATTAAAAGGTCCATGAGAGTCTCACAGGCATGGAAAGCCATGACATGGTGGCAAAAAACAATCTAAATGAAAGATCCTGGTGAACAAGACCCCAGCAGAAGGATCAGGCCATCAAGGAGAGAGGCGCCTTTCTCTGAAGGGAGGAAGGAACCTCCACTGTGATATGGCCTTGACTAAACAAATTCAGAGTTGCTGAACTCAAGGGGCTTCCATAGCCTAGACAGCTCATAGCAAGAGTCTCGGGTGATTGCTGACATCATAAATAAGAGTGTCAATTGTTAAATCAACAACAGGAGTCACTGGGTTCATGCTCCCCATGTAGGATCTCTGTCCTTAATGTGTTTAACTATGAAACTCAAAAACAACACTACTAGTCGAACAATACCCTATACCTGGTTCAGTTGTGTGAGTGCAACCTGTTGAAATCCCTGCTTAGTATATACTAAGTTGATCTTCAGTATATGAAGGTAATTGAAAATGAAATGTGATGAAGGGTGGGATGGGAGAGGGAGTGGGAGAGGGGATGGCCACAGGAGGGAGGGAGGTTGGGGGGGGGAAGCCACAACAATACAAAAGTTGCATTTTATATTCTAATTAAAACTATTGATTGAACTCTGTAATTAATACATAAATACTCTTAGGTGTTTAATTAATGCTATAACTAGTACTCAAATAGTATTTTACATTTTGTGTTCCTGTGTGGGAACAAAATGTGGAAATCTTTACTTAATATACACTAAATTGATCTTCTGTATATAAAGATAATTGAAAATTAATCTTGATGTGAAGGGAAGGGAGAGAGAGTGGGAGAGGGGAGCATTGTGGGTGGGAGGGAAGTTATGGGGGGGGGAGGAAGCTATCGTAATCCATAAGCTGTACTTTGGAAATTTATGCTCATTAAATAAAAAAATATATAAAAAAATAAATAAATAAAATGCTGATCCCAGATGTACATTGAAAATACCAAGCTTAAATATGTCAACATGAATTTTAACATGGGTGAACCTTCTAAGTTCTATGAGTTTGAGGCTATATTCCAGATTGAAAAGGAGTTCAGGAGCCGGCGCTGTGGCACAGAGGGTTAATGCCCTGGCCTAAAGCGCCAGCATCCCATACGGGTGCCGGTTCCGAGACCCAGATGCTCCATAGCTGTCTGCTATGGCCTGGGAAAGTAGTAGAAGATGGCCCAAGTCCTTGGGCCCCTGCACCCGCATGGGAGACCCAGAAGAAACTCCTGGCTCCAGGCTTCAGATCGGCGCAGCTCTGGCTGTTGCGGCCAATTGGGGAGTGAACCATCGGACAGATCTCTCTCTCTCTCTCTCTCTCTCTCTCTCTCTCTCTGCTTCTCTTCTCTCTGTGTGACTCTGACTTTCAAATAAATAAATAAATCTTAAAAAAAAAAAAGGAGTTCAAAGAAGAAAATGCTCACTAATATAAGTACATTACAAAATATTTACTTCAGAGATAGAACTGTGAAAAAGGGTCAATTCACACTCTGCTATATAAATTTTATTCAAATCCGTTTCAGATGAATCCTGCCCAAGAGAAAGATTTCATCTCTAACTCATTCAGCAGCAGGAAGCCCGGGAACCGAGGTAGAATGATTCTGATTTGCAGGAGCAGAGCAGGGGGCTCTGAAAGTTTTCTCAGGCTCCACACAGGAACACTTCAAAGTACAGAGTAAGTGCCAGAGCTTGGGAGCCCAAACTCCTAATTCCAAATCTTCATTTGGCCACCTAATAGCTGGGTGACTTAGCAAGCTAAATTACTTCTCTGAGCCTGTTTCTGCTTCTGTAAAAATTAGTTCAACCCCTGGAGTCATTACATGTATTAATTGAAGGAAAATGTCCATGATACACTATGTCTTTGATGTTTTTATTTATAATACTTTTAAATTGTTAATTTATTTTAGAGGTGGAGAAACAGAGAGAGACAAAGCGACACACACACACACACAAAGAGAGAGAGAGAGAGAGAGAGAGAGAGAGAGAACCTCCAGTGGTCCCCCATCCACTTTTTTTTTTCCACAAAAGGCCTGCTGGGGCTGTGCTGAAGCTGCGGCCAAAGATGGGAGCTGGAAAATCAATCTGGTCTTTCATCTAGGTAGCAGGAAGGCTGTCACCACTGCCTCCCAGATTGTGTGTTGTCAGGAAGCTGGTGGCAGGAGCTGGATCCAGAAACAAATGCAGGTATTTGAATGCACGATGCAGGTGTCTTAACCACGAGGCTAAATGCCCTCTATGTTACAATATTTTAAAAATTAAATCATTCCAGGAGATACACTTTCTCCCAGTAATTTTCTCTTATTATCTACCTTATCTTATCTTTTTCTATGACTAATTTTGATTTTCACCATTTCAGGGAAATGAACTCGCTAATCAACAATAGATCTCATAAGTTGGGAACACCATATTTTTGATTGATTCACTTGAATAAAAGTCGAATCTATGTCTATATCTCCTAGTTTTCTATGAAATCTCATACTTGTGGCAATAGACAAAATAACAATTGTTGAATTTATTGTCATCAATGAAACTAAGTGAACACTTGCATCATCTCTAGCTTTCCTGAGATCCCTCTGCCCTCTGCTGTCAGTTTGAATCAGATGTGAGATCCTCTAAGACAGCCCAGCTCATTCGCATCTTTATCCCTACCTCCTGTGTTGGGTGTATAACATGTAGTAGGTTGTCAATAAAGCTGTCAAATAAATGAGTGAATGAGGAAATAAGGAAGAATATTTCATAGCAAAGGAAACTACAATGGAAAGCGATGGAAAAGCAAAGTAATGATAAAAGTTATCAATAATTGAGTACCAGGCCCTTATGTATATTATTTCTAAACTTCATGATAGCCTCACAGGGTAGGTTCCTGTGGCCCACTGTAACAATGAGGAATAGTGATAACAATGAAGGAGGGAGCAGCCCATAGAACATCCATCTGTGTTGTGCCCTCGGGTCCTTGGGAGAAAAGTTACCTAAAAATGCAGTTTTTTCTCTAGCACATCTGCCACATAACCCTCCAACTTCTGCCACATGATTGGTGGCAAATGAGCTGTCCCAGAATGGCCAATCAGTGGCACCCCACTTGGTAAAAACCATATAAGTTCTGTCCTTGGCTGGTCTGAAGGTGAAAGAATATGGAGAAGGCATGAGTTCCTTACAAGAATCATTTGCCCTTTAGTTTTCTCCCTACTTCTCCATCCCTTAACATCTGAGACAGAGCAGGGAATGAGGGCAGTCAGGGATGGAATGCTTTGTACTTATGAATCAGGGACTGCCCTGATTTGAACAAGATTTTCCTACCAAACTGATGCTGGATTTTAAACCCCAAAGCCATAGTTAATGGTACTAAGAAGGTACAAATTGAATCCAATAACAGTATTTGAAAGGTAGACCTAGTAGAAGTTGTTAGGTCACTGAAGGTGTGCCCTCAGAAGATAGTTCTCATGAGAGGGCTGGTTATAAAAGCGTACTTAGGCCCAGTCACTCTTTCTATGCTTCCTGGCTGTCCATATGATTCTTCCTCTGCTTGCACTCTGTGTTCCCTCTTGTCATGTGATGCCCTACCTTGCCTTGGGACTCTGCCAGCAAGAACACCATCATCTAAGACTGAACCAGTGAGACCTGCCAAATAAGATAGCGAATCTCCAAAACTGTGAGCTCAAATAAAACTCTTTTCCTTCATAAATAATTTGCTTATAGATGAAAAACTGACTAATACAGAACCCTTGAAACTGAACTCCTATAATGTAAAAGCAGGACCCAGCCTCTTCTCTGTCTCCCTTAGCCCAAGATGTCTTTGCCTTTCCTTTATCAGAAGGAGTTCACTGACCTGAGAGAATGGTACAGCAGGTCTTACAGTTCTAATTACCAGACTCAAAGAGTCTTTTGCTTCTCCAATAGATAAGAACCTTAATGGCCAGTATTATCCTGTAGTGGTGCATAGGGGAATTCCAGGTTGAGGTAGAATGTAACTGTCATCCCTCAGACAACAGGAGCCCACATGGCCATCATAAATTTCCTAAAGACCGTATCATCACTGACTAATGAAAGAAAAGTCATGAGCACCACTGACCAACCAGGAACTCGGACCCAAGCTAATCATGCACCTCTCAGCCCCAATTTCAATGTATAGGAACATTCACCGTTAATTCCCTGGGAAGTCCAGGAATTAATAAATAACTACTCTTTGTTGTGCACTTTGCAATAAATACCTACTTTTTTCCACCATCAGAATTTCATTGATTGTCTTTCTGCACATCAGGCAAAGGGACTCAGTTGGAAGTTCACTCCAACTAGTTTGGGGCATTGTTCTCCAGCACCCTCATTTTCTTCTCTAAAGATAACAAAGCGTGATAGACTAACTGGTGCATGTTCAGCTTAATTTCCTTGTACTATTCTTTGCTTTTCTCAGAGTGGAAGAGATGGTCCCTGGTGGGGGATATGCCAGAGAAAGTTGAAAGCAAAGGAACAAAAGCAGAAGGAATGAGGAAAAAGCCAACATAGACTTGTGCAATGTCTTAACAATTTCCTGCAAAATAAGACTAAGAAGAAAGAAGGTGGGGTGGGAGAGAAATGAAAGGATAGACAAGAAAGGGATGCTCAAGTAAGAACTGAAGGACTGCTCTTTAGTGACTATACCAGCATGGTAAACATGGCAGGGCAACAGGGGGAAAAAGTAGAGAGGAGAAGAAGAAATGAGGACAGAAGGGATGGAGAGGGAACCCAGGGTGTTGTTGTGTAGGAGGCTCAAGTTGCGGATGCTATGAGACAGAAAGCTCAGAATTCAGGTGTAGGCAACACAACTAATAAGAGATCATTGTTCAGTTTGTGAAGAATTGATATTTCCCAAAATGTTAGAATCTTGGAAGTGTAAAAATAATCCTTCCCATTCACAGACTCTGGTCTGCAGGTGGAAGAAAAATTTAAAGAATAGATCACAGGGAAAAGACACTTTGGTGTTTTAAATGTATGGTAAAATCATGTAGCATGAAATTTTACTGTACAAAATTAGAATTATATACTTTATTATATTTTACTTTATATTCCATGATTATCATAAATTGTAATAGAAAATATTCATGCATTTGAAGAGACTTTGAAGACACAATAATATAAAGTTTGACTTCTCACAGACTCAAGGCCAGTCTCAGGTGCTGACCACAGGAACTCTCATCTATCCAATGAGTGGTAGCGTACTTTTAGATATTAGAGTTTCTGTAAGATAATTTAATCATCTTTGTACATGTTAGTTTTAGTAACTGGCATTGTAACAAAGCACCCCAAGCCACAGTTTGCAATGCCAACACCCCATATTGGAGTGCTGGTTAGAGTCTTGGCTGCTCTATTTCTGATCCAGCTTCCTACTGGTGTGCTCTGGAAGAGAGCAGCTGATGGTCTGAATGTTTGGGATCCTGCCACCTGTGTGGGAGAGCAGAGTGGAGTTCCTGGTGCCTGGCCCATCCCTGGCTGTTGCAGTCATTTGGGGAATAAACCAGTGGGTGCAATGAAATGCAAAATCAAAGAATTTCAATTACAACAATTCATTTTATTACTTTGTTTTCCTCTTAAGTCAAAAATAGTTGGATGCTGGGAATGGTGATCAGAAATGCCAAATGTTCAGTTCTATGAATGACCATCCTCTTTTAGTTACCCATTTTCTAATCTGCAGTATACTTGTCCTAAAAATGTTCTACACCATGTATCAGTAAGAGATTTTCTAGAGGAAAATCTAAAAAAAAAAAAAAAAAAGAAATAAAGAACATACATATGTGAAAAATTCTAAGGACAAGTAATTCAGCCTCTAAAATGACACCAGAACACCTATGTCTATCCACTGACATACATGTGCCAGCACAAATTCATATCACCCATCATGATGTCCTCATTCCCTGCCCACATGGTACTACAGCAAATATCTTTCTGTTCTCAAAGGATAAAATATGCAGTAGCATACACTAGCTTTTAAAATGTAAATTTTTCAGAAATGCACAAAAGTCAGGTGCTTAGCAGTTCTTAGAGAAATGTCTCAACCTGAATATAACCCTCTCTTTAAAACTAATCACACATTTAAGTATATGTAAATTATACCTTCCTAGGTGACAGCATTTCAACTGATGTCCATCAGTAACTCAATCGACACTGATTGAATCCTTTTGCTCCTTCTAGCACTTTCTCATATACTAGATTGCACTTTAAAAAGTGTGGTTGACAAGTGCTAGCAAAATAAATTATTTATACATTTTTTCAGGGCATTGATTTTCTAAATAAGAGGAAACCATACCATAATGTAAATTCTGCTACAAAGGACTGTGTGATAGTACTATTTTAAATTAATCTTAATTCCACATAGTAAATTATAGTAAGTCATTAACATTGTGCTGGTGAATTGTGCAGTTATTTACAAATCTCACTGATGCTTTATAGTAAATGAGTCACAAAACTTACTCTCCTGTTTTCATTATTTACCAGAAAACTTGATTTGCAATGAATTATCTTCATTTTTATTGAAAAACTATATATATATAAAGTATATATACTTTATATATTTATATATACACTTATATATATTTATATACTTTATATATAACACATATAACTTTATGTATACTTTATATATAACTTTATATATATAAAATATATATAATCTTCATTTTTATTAAAAAACTATTTTCCTCTTCCATAGGCTATATCTTTGAAGAGATCCCTTGAATCTGTTCAAAGTTTCTAGCAATTGTCACCTTTTTTTTTTATATGAGACCAGCAAGCATTGGAGAAATGCGTGGCTCCCTGTGCTGTAGGACACACATGCAAATAAGCTCCCAACCCCAACCAGCCCTGCTGAACAAGATGATTTCTGCTTATAACTCACCCTCATAGGAAAGCTCCAATGGGAAGACACACAGGAGATCACTGCCCAGCAATGGAACAGAAGCCTGGAATTTCCTCCAGAGAAAGAAAGATATCAGTCAACTATCCAACCCATTTAGTGGTGCATCAAATGGACTCCTCCTCCTCCTCACCCACCCTTCTTGTTCTTTGGTGTCTTACTAGTTGAGACTGGATGGACTTCCAGGTCTTCCTATTCCTACAAAGAGAAAACCCTATTATTCCTGAATGTTCATGGTTCTTGACTCCTTCTACAGTTCAAGATGCATAATGACACTTCAGTTGTCAGCACAAAGAGCAGCCTCCCAGTGATTAAACATCACAGTGACTTCAAGAGTACAGGCAGTCACCTGGGACCTGGGGTGGAAGCTCCTCCTGTCTTGGACAAGATAAGAACCAAATAGGGGAAGTGAGGAACAAAAATACAGTGGGATCCGCAGGTCAGATTTCCTTGACATAAAATAAGATAACCATACTGTGGTGACCCCTCAGCCCATGCCATATTATAAATACCATCCTAGAATGTCACGAAATGTACTTATCGCAAATTTTATTCAATAGAAAGGGATTCGCCAAACACAATTCATGAACTACCAGAGACGCCATAATATTTTAAAAGGAAAAGCAGCACAGATAAAGGAGTATAAGTTCTGCATTTTCAAAATTATATAAACTCTCAGAAATATGCCTGCTGTCAGATAAGCAAATCCTGTAAAACATCGAATGATTTATTT